AGGTGCGACACAATGGCTGAGTGGTTAGCACTGTCACCTTAAAGCAAGAAGGTTACTAGTTCAAGTCCTGTCTGGGACAGTTGGCATTTCTGTGTGGAGTTTGCATGTTCTCCCTGTGTTTGCGTGAGTTTCCTCCTGGTGCTCCGGTTTCCCCTACAGTCTAAACACATGCAGTATAGGTGAATCGAATAAGCTAAATTGGCTGTAGTGTGTGAATGAGTGCGTATGGATGTTTCCCAGTGCCCGGTTGCAGCTGGAAGAGCATCAGCTGTGTAAAACATGCTGGATAAGTTGGTGGTTCATTCCGCTGTGGCGACCCCAGAATAATAAAGGGACTAAGCCGAAGGAAAATAAATAATAATAATATAATGAATGTTAGCTTTTAATTTTGTCATATTATTAGCTGATCATTTACATTTAACGTTTGATTGAGCCATGAAAACAGGCGGTCATGAGAAGAGCAATAAATATTAGTGCTGATTCCAAACATCCTCCTTTTAGTAAATATCAGAGGTTGCCATCAGGAAAAAGACCTGAATGCCAACGTGTAAAAGCAAAAGATTAAAGCTTTTGTTTGTTCCTACCTCGATAAAACTGTTGAACTCTACCATGAACAATTCACCTGTACATTAGCACCCAACTGTGTTCTGTGCTTTAAATGTTTATTATTTATATATTTATATGTGGTCTTAATTTGTAAACAATATGTTCTTAATTGTTTTGTTTATTTATTTTATTTTATCGTCTGCTTAGAGCAACGTTGCAGCACCTTTTTCCCCAAGATAAATTTCCTCTCTGGGACAAATAAAGTTTATCCTTTGTTGCAGGGTTATCAAAAGTTTTTTTTTTTTTTGTATATAAAAAATTATTTAAAAATCCTATACTTTTTGCATCATAAAATAATGAGTATCTAGTATCTCTTTTCTATCGCAACAATACTATCATATCACAGAAACAAAAGTAGATTTAAAAAGAAAGACAAAAGTCAACAGGGATAATCCAGTGTTGTTTGGACCCCATTGACTTTCATTGCAGAGTGAAAACAAATTAAAAGTAAACCATACAAATTGATAAAATGAGCATGAGCAAATGCTTTTTAATTTTGGGTAAACTATAAGCAGAGATGTTATATTTAGTTAAAATATCTTAGAATCCCACCTAAATTTAAAGCTGGAGATAGACACCATACAAAGGTTGTACTACAAGTGTGCTACCATTTGGTAAAATTCTATAGGTTTCATTTTATAGATGTGCTTGTTTCAGCATGCATTAAGCTATACCAATGAGTGTAATTTAGGAGAGTTATTTTATCAGGATCTGAAAAGGATGTAATAAAAAAACTACTAGTTTTAAATCCATAGTGATGATTTTGCTGAATTCCCAATACAAGATGACTATAGAAGCATATTTCTGTGCACAAGTCTGTGATGTTGGTCAGAGTCTGACACCTTCTGCTTTCAGAGCACACAGGCAGGCAACACTAGATGTCAGTGTTTTCGCTGATCTGATCTCGGTCCTGCAAGCGTTTTGTTTGTGGGAAAAGACAAGCAGAAGCAAATAGTTTGAGAAGTTGAAGCTTGCAACTTTAAAACTTGAGGCTCCTGCTGGATTTCCTAATATTAGAGGGACTGTCTACAAGGAGTTAAAGGCTATTACTGTGCCAAGTCTGATCACGGGGCATCACTTTCATCTTGCCAACTCTCTTGTATAATTAGCAGAAATTTGCTGAGATGTGTTTTCTCCTCCCTTCATTTCCTTAGATGAATCATCAGGAGTATAGACTAAACTCCCTTTCTTAACTCCTAGGATGCAGAAGTTAAATGTAAAATTAATGCTTGGTCTTATTTAGGAGATTCATTTAATGTGTGTTTGTGTGTGTGCTTCTCTTTTCTACTTTGCGCTTTGAAGCTTTTGGATTCACCTAACGTGCCTTAGATGCTTCTGAAGGCACACAACTGAAGTTTCACAGAGATCTTTCCTCATATGTGCTGCCATGCTCATGATCATAAAAAAGTTTAATAATTCTGTCATGAATAATCAGTTTACTCACAAGAGTTAATAAGTAAATAAATAAGCAAATGAATGAATAAATAAATACACATAAAACATTTCTAAAAGAAAATTAAAAGCATATAAAAATACCACAGAAAATAATATAACAGAAGAATATAAAGATGTATTATGAAAGTAATATAAATTATATGCATGTTAAGGAATGATACTATAAGGAATTTAAATATTTGCCTCGACATTGGCAATTGGTTAATGATAAAATTACATAATAAAAAATGCCGTTTTTTTTCTGTTTAAATATAAAAAAAAATATTGTAAAATGAAATATATTAAAACAATCTAAAGAAGTATTATAAAAATGTAAATATATATTTTTTGATTTTCTCTGTATTGTATTTTTTACATCTGTACAAATTATAATTTTTACACATGTATACTTTTTTCCTTTTAAACAAAAAGTTCATGTTACACTGTAAAAAATTTTAAGCCAGTTCAACAAAAAAAATCTTAGTACTAATTTCCTTCTGTTTTTTCTTGTTTACTCAACTTTTGAAAACATCAGCTACACTGACTGAAAATAATTTGTCAGTGAAACAAAAAATGTCTAGTTGAGTCAACTTAACATTAGTAGTTTTCTGGAAACCTGCAACTGCAGCACAACAAATATTTTTAAGTTGTGCAAACTGAACATTTCTTGTCTGCAGGACTGAAATGACAGAAGTTGAGTGAACAAGAAAATACAAAAGGAAATTAGTACTAAGAAATTATATGTTACCAGAGCAAAAGTTGTGTTAACTGAACATTTCTTGTCTGGATGGCCAAAAATGACAGAAGTTGAGAGAACAAGAAAATACAAAAGGAAATTAGTACTAAGAAATTATATGTTATCCGAGCAAACACACATGGCTCTGTTTTTTTAAGTTCTGCTGACTGAACATTTCTTGTCTGAATGGTCTGAAACTACAGAAGTTGAATGAACCAAAAAAATACAATTGGAAATTAGTACTAATAAATAAAATGTTATCGGAGTAAACACACATGGCAAAAAAAGGCATACATTTTACCAAAACATTCATTTTCTTGCGGTTCTTCACTAAAGTACAAAAACAAGGTAGTGTATCTGTAAAAAAACAAAAAAACAAACACTAAGTCAAATTAATCACATGAAAAGGAAACACAATTATATTAAATATATAACAATTACAGCACATCTCTGAGACTACCTCACACTATCAATTTTAATAACCTTAGAATATCCCATAAATTATTCACAACACCCTGCTGAAAAAACAGCGTAAGCTGGTAAGGTATGTTTTGATGCTGGTCTCAATGCTGGTTTTGCTTGTCTCAATGCTGGTCTTGCTGGTTTCAGTGCTGGTTTTGCTGGTCTAAGTGCTGCTCCTGACCAGCATTGAGACCAGCAAGACCAACATTGAAACCAGCATTAGGACCAGCATTGAGACCAGCAAAACCAGCATTAAGACCAGCAAAACCAGCATTAAAACAAGCAAGACCAGCATACCAGCATCAAAACATATACCTTCCCAGCATATGCTGTTTTTTTTTTGTTTTTTTTCAGCAGGGCAATTAGAGCAATCAATCTGAATTACTAGTTGCCTTGAGATATAAATCTTAGTATTTGTTGTAATTCATTTCAAAATCTATACTTGCATAATTACGTTTTGTGCTGGTACCTTGGCTGGTCATGGATAAATATGATATTAAAACTGCCAGTAAAGGATCTTACTTTAGTAATAAGTGTTCCACTGTATACACCTTCAGTTCAAAATGAACGATTTATTACTATTATTTTGGTTTTGATTTGATTTTGTTTGCTTAATATAATAATAAGCAGTTGGAATATACGCGCTGTCACTTTAAGAGCCACCCTAGATAGTAAAATACACTTGGACTAGTTCCAGCTAGATTCGCTGCCGCATCCGAGCCAGAATCGGCCCGCGAGTAATGTGCGCTGCAGCCCGGAGCTGGCGCAACTCAATATACCTTGATATAAAACCTTTTGGTATTATATTGGTACTTGATACATGGTATTACAACCATTTGAATTTATATACCAGCAAACGCAGGCTATAATGTAAAGGCAAAGTGTAGGCACTGCGTTCAACCTTTGAATAAAATGCAAACAGCATACATATCTAATAACAAAAATTATCAAACAAAGGACAAAATAAATAATAATAATAAACATTTATTGATTGCAATAAACAAATAATACTAAACTTGAATAAAATATTTTGTAGTGCACAAGTAATAATAAAACTACACAATAAAGAGACACAGGAAGATTTAAAGACAAAATCTGAAATTGCACACATACACAGAAGTTTTTAAAACAACCCTGTTTTCCCAATAGACTTGAATTAAAAAATTGTACAAGACACATCTTAAAACAGCTTAATTTTATATAAACCTGAATATAGAAACCAATTTAAGATATAGCAAGAAACATCTTACAAATACCCATGACAATATGTAAAATATACAAGTCAAAATTGTAAAAAGAACTGCAGAATTCTTAAGAAACATTTTTAATAAATGTAATAAATAAAACATAATAATACATTTAAATGAGTGAGATGATTATATATATATATATATATATATATATATATATATATATATATATATATATATATATATATATATATATAATTTGACTTGTATATCTTTATATGTCTTGTGCAATTTTTTATTAATATTTTTATTATATTATGTTAATTAAAAATGTATTAAGATGCTTTTTCAGAATTTAGCATATTGTCATTTTATATATATATATATATATATATATATATATATATATATATATATATATATATATATATATATATATATATATATAAAATTGCAAATAAAAGAAACAAATTACCCAAGTATCAGGGAACATCTTAATACACTTAAAATGTTGTTTAAAAAATAAATTTTTGATGTAGACATTTGACACATTAGCTTTCTCTTCTTCCCTCCTTCCTCCACCCCTGTCAGGAGCACGTTGTAGCCACCTTGTAATGCATTTTTCCACTTCTTTATCAGTGATGTGGTATGGACATTTCTCCTCACTACATCTGTGATTAAAAGATAAACAAACAATTAGTAGTGAAAAAGTACAAATGAAAAAAGAAAGATGCTTGCTCTCATATAAGTACAACCTAAATGGGACTATATATAGATGTTTTGTTCCTTTGATTAATGATTCAAAGAAATACACAGATGGAACTGCCCCTAATTGTACTGAAATGTATATTTAAAACCAACTTACTGAATAGACAGTCCTAAGGGAGAGTGCATGAAAGGCCACATTTTGGTTTGCCCTGCTCCAGTTAATTTGTTCAGCCAAAAAGTGAGCCAAAAGCTTTCCCGGGACACACCAAACTGCTTAGTGGAAAACACCAATCAATCCAAAGTAGGCTACCTACGAAGCAAAAAAACACATAAATAAATAAATAAATAAACATAAAACACTTAGAAATAAGCAAGAAACTTACCAGTTTCTTCATTTGTTCGGGCTGCTCGTTTAGTTGATTTTCAAGTTTTTACAAATCAAATTGGACAAAGAAAGGTCAAATGTGTTTACATCAGGAATTTCATCACGTCTGTTTTGGTTTTGCTGATTTGTGAGAATCAGGCACAGTTGCTGCTTTATGACGTCACATGATTTTAACTTTTTTTCAGTCGTGCTAAAAAAGAAAAATAACAAATTAGTATAAATCAACCTGTTGCTTATTCTCATGCAACTTGTGTAAATACAACAGTGGGTTAGACACTGCTGATATTCTCTAGTTGATCTTTACTTTCTAGCTGCATTAAGCCATTACAAATTTAGTGACGTCTTGAATTCTTACAAAGACATGACGAGTTGCAATAAGTTGTCTTGATCTCCGACTGCACTTGAACAAGGACTGTAAATGTTCATAGGTGTACTGGAATGTACAGCATCTGTGTATCTTGATGGTGTTCTTAAGGATCCTGCCATAGTCATTGGTGGTGATGGTACTTGCGGTGCTGCATCAATTTCTGAAATCTTCAAATCAGTTTTTTCTCCAGCCTCTTTGTTCCAAATAATTTTTCTTCATCACGTTCACTATAGTTGTGTCTTTAATGCCCCTTGATCAGATACATTTACAAAACAAAACATTATTTTAGTATAGTGCAGGGCACTAGATCAATGACAATGGCAGTGTAATAGATCAATGACATAATGTTGACAGTATGTGTTTAAAATAATTGCAAACAAACCTGTTCTTTCTTTAGGTGTATGACGGGCGATCATCGTCCTCATCTGTCTGCAAGCCAAGCTGAGTCGAGCTTCCTCATGTGTGTCTATAATAAAACATCACATTGTTGTTAACCTCCCCCGAAAAAGTTAAAATCCTGAAATACTATCAAAGTTAATTAATGGCTATAATACCTATGGTGTAAATAATCAGCACACTGAAGGTTGCACAGGATTTATTCAGAGATTCATGCAGAGTGACAGCCTTATGAATCTTAGACATAGATTTGTAAGATGGCCAAGCACATGCATTATTCTGTACCCATGAAGATTAACCTACCATTGTGGAAAATGTTTGATGATGATGATAGCCAATAACAATAAACCATTTCAGCTGTTTGTGAAGCAATTAGTAATGTAAAGTCTGAAAATCTCAATCTATGTTGAAAATGTATCAGCAGTTTACAGGTTATAGTGGACTTAAATCACCCAACTATAACATGCCTATTCACATGTTCATAAGAATGTGCTATTGGTCTCTGTGATGTGCTACAAAATGACCTCACTAACCTTTGTTAAACAAGAACAGTAAGACTTAACCGAAAAAATATTCATTTATACCCATTCATTTAAATCAGAAAGTATAACTGTCAATAACCAAAAAATAAAACCCATCAAAATCTGCTTTAAGAAATTTAGTTTTACATGTGCAAATTACAACTTGAACATAAGATATAATTGATTCACATAGGCTAACACATATAAATTAAAGCACATACTAATATATTTCTCTTAATAATAGAATGATAATTTAAAGAGAACAGTAAACGATCACTGATGCACTGCATAAACAAGTTAAACAATAACTTAACAATAACCTAACACTGTGAAAATGTTTTAAGCATTAAATTCGCAAAGTATACAGTATACAAGCAGCAAAAACCTTACCTTTCTGACCGGAATCCACTGTTTTGAAACGCCAAACTTCTTTTTCTTCTTGTGATCATCATAGCGGTTGGCAACCAGCTTTTGGAACATTACCGCCACCGTCTGGATTGGAGTTTGGACCAAGAGTTGACTCACGCATGTGTTTCTTATGAAACCATACTTCTGCTTAAAAAAACAGTCTGCATGGAAGCGTGCTATCCCGAAAATAAGCGCATTTTACACTGTTTTCCCTAGATGATATATATAATCCATTTATAAATAATATTGTTTTGTTTGCATCTAAACATTGCGACCATCCACACTAAATGTTTTTATTATTTTGTTGTTGTTGTACCATATATATTTTCTCAAATTATCATTAAACGTGGAGCTAACAAATTACTAGATAAAATAAGAATTTAATCGGTTGTCATCAGTTACACAAGCCGAGTCCTTATACGAGCCGAGACAGACTCGGGCCAGATAGGGTTAACAGGAATCTGGCCAGTGTTTACAGCTGCATCACAAACGCATGTGCGCGAGCGAGCTGCGGGCCACACTCCGCCCGTATAACACTCGTTGATGCCGAGTCGGAGCCGGAGGCGCCGAAGGGCAGCCGAGCTCGGGCCGATTACTTCCTGCTACCCGGGGCATGGATATGATTTACGGCAACACAAATATTCATTCACTCTTATCACATAACAAAGAGAGATTATGTGAATAATCACTAAGCGCCGCATCTGCACACATTTTTGCGCGTATATGATGAACATTTAGGAGGACAAATTTAGATGAAGTGTCTTAAACAAAGAACTACAATCTTTGCACACTTACTATTAAGATTGCTCTTCCACGGCTTGCCTCTTTCCCCACCGAAGTACAATGCTTCTAGTTTCTCCCGCCTGAGACGTTGACGTTACGTAAGCGCAACCATCGTAACGAGGGCGTGGTTTAGCTCAGGACAGAATGATGCTATATCGTCTTCTTCTTCTTCTTCTTCTTTTTCGTTTAATGGCGGGTGGCAAACCAGCTTGAGGTGCATTACCGCCACCTACTGTGTTGGAGTGTGAGACTTCAATGAGTGGAAGGTTTACTACTTATTCTCTAAAAAAAAAAATAATAATAAAAATAAAAAATTTAAATAAATAAAAATAAAATAAAAAAAAAACACATTTTTTAAACCCTTTCATGGTAAATTAATAATAATAAACAATATTCATAATAAAAATCTAAATAAAACTAACTAAACAACCAAAATATAATTCTTTCCGATTAAATCCTGTAAAACAAACCTGTACTCCTCAAGAATTTTAGCAGATAATCATATACTTTAGTTTCTTTCTGAGCCTTTTTAAAAATGTTAGTGATTGTAATGTCTGTCATGTCCAAATCTCTTAGTTTTATTTTAAACTGATCCCTCTCTCTTCTATATTTTGTGCACTTGATTAATACATGTTCTATGGTTTCGATCTGTCCACAATGTCTGCAGCATTCTGTTTCCCTTTTCCCTATCTTGAATAGTGAACTGTTTAAATTGGAAATGCTATATCGTCCTTTGAGAAACATATTTTTGAGTGAGTGGTTTATTTTTAAATATTGGAATATCAAAGTATGCCTTTCTTTTTTTAAAGGGTAATGAATAAACACGAGATGATAATGTGCGTGCAAGCTTATTTCTGCAAATGTGCACCAAATAAAGTTAAATTGCAAATGAAAAGTTTCAAATAAAGTTACTATAAGTATTGTAGTGTTTTTTGTTGTTTTTAATAACAATGTGAAGAATAACGATATTTATTATTGTATTAATAATAATAATAATAACAATAATAATAATAATAGCATTTTCACTCAGCATTTACTTTTTAATACAAACCATGAAAGGTTCTATACTCATTCATTCATTTTCTTGTTGGCTTAGTCCCTTTATTAATCGGGGGTCGCCACAGCGGAATGAACCGCCAACTTATCCAGCAGGTTTTTACGCAGCGGATGCCCTTCCAGCCCCAACCCATCTCTGGGAAAAGGTTCTATACTGCCATTGATAATTTTTTTAGAATATTTAACATGTTTGAAACCTTTTCAATCAACAAAAGGTTATGCTACTTGTATATTCATTGCATTAAAAAGTCAGAGATTGACTTAACACAAAAAAACAAGTTGGCAGATGCTTTTTTGAATGAACTAGCAAAGTGTTGCTCACAAAACTCATCTTTTTAACTTAATGAATAAAATCTTTGTTTAAGTTGATTGAATGTGTTAAATGTAGTTGTACAGACTTTTTTACAGATTTTTGCTGAACCAACAAAAAAAATCAAGCAATTTCAACATTTGTCAAGTTGGATTTTTTACAGTGTACTATTCATGTTCTAAAATCATGTTACTATACTATACTATTCAAAATGTGTTACTATTTTATCAATAAGAGAACAAAAATACAGAGAAAATTGGGGGGAAGTGGAAAAAACTGAAAGAAAAAAATAAAAGAACCAAATAAGGGGGGACTTCGAGAGATTTTTACTGGGGTTCAATCACTGCTCTCTTGTTAAAGTATTCAATAAATGGATTCCATATTACATGGAAATTCTTCATTTTATTTTTGAGGGAACGTCTTAGCTTCTCAAGTTGCAGGCAAGAACTGACATTTTTTTATCAATGTGAAGCAAAGGAGAGGATCTTTTCATTTCTAATTCAGTAAAATAAATCTATCTAATAAATCTAATAAATCTATATGCCAAAAGGGTTAGAAATGTAATCGCTGTTTGTTGATTTTTAGATATTCTGCATCATTACTGAATGAATTACTGAATATAGCTAAAATAGGCTTGGGGATATATTTGTTTTCTCACCACTTCTTGTATTAATTGAAAAACCAAAATCCAATAATTAAGCATTTTAGACTCCAAAACAGGTGATCGAATGGTGCTGGAGTTTGAATAAGATGCATGAAATATATGACTGAAAATAATAATATGACTGAAATAACAATAAGGAATCTAAATATGTGCCTCTGTGTTAGCAAATGTTATTAACAATAATTTCAAATAATAAAGAAATCTGTTTTTGTCTGTATAAATAATAAACAATAAGCAATAAAATAAGTAATAAAATAAAGGTAAATAAAAAAATATATAAAATAAAATAAAACACACATAAAATGATATTACAGAAAATAATATGACAGAAGAATAAAAAGAAATATTTTGAAAACAATATGAATGAAATGCATTTTAAAAAGAATAAGAAAATATGTGAAAAAAGAAAATAATCTATATATGTACCTTTGTGTTAGCAAATATAAAAAATAAAAGATAACATTAAAAAATAAAAAAAATATTTTTTGTTTGTTTAAACATTTAAAAAGTAAAATAACATTTAAATATAATAAAAATAGATAAAAAGAAAACATTTCTAAAATAAAGTAATGTAAATATATAGAATAATGTCACAGAAAATAATATAACAGAATAATATAAATAAATATTATGGAAATGATTTATAAATAAAATGCATTTTAAAACAATAAGAAATCTAAACATGTGCCTCTATGTTAGCAAATATTATTAAAAAAAATGTCAATTTAAATATTAAAAAATAAATAATAAAAATTTATTATATTAAAACATTTATAAAATAAAGTAAAAAAACTAAATAATATCACAGAAAATAATATATAACGGAAGAATCTAAAGAAAAATTATGAAAGCATAAAATGAATTTAATGCAATAATTAAATAACTGTATTAGCAAATGGTATTGACAAACATGTTAAATCATAAAAACGTTTGTTTTGTCTCTTTAAATAAAAATATATATAAATAAATTAATCAAATAAAACATTTTTAAAATCAAGTAAAAACAAAAAAACATCATATAAAATAATATGACAGAAGAATCTTAACAAATATAATGAACACAAAATACATGAAATATATATTAAAAAACAATTATTATTAAAAATGTGTGCATTTGTATTAGTAAATGTTCTTAAAGATAATGTAAAATATTTTTAATTGATGTTTTTGTCAGTTTTAATAATAATAATTTATTATTCACCTTGTTGGTGTGAACTTTTCCGCATATATAAATTTATAAAAACCAATAAGTAATCTAATCACTTTTATACATATGTAATTTGACACATGGGGTGGTACTCTTTTCGTAAAACGACCCTTATCGTTGTATCTTTCGAAATTCCTCGATGACATCAGATGTGACGGTACGTTTGTGACAACCAATCACAGCGCAGAAAAACCCGGAACTTCTGAAGGCGCAAGAAAGAGCGCCTGTATTCAATTTGAAAAGAAGGAAAACATCAGGTATGAAGTGTTTTTATGCTTAGCAAATCTATTATCGTTTCGAAAACATTGCAAATACACTTAAAACGATACATTTATTACGACGTCTGTCATTTTTGAGAGCGGTGTTAATATTTAAAACCACATGACAACGAAAATGTTCAACAGTTCTGCCATGCGAAGCAATCTTAATATAAGTCATTTAAATATTTCATTCTCAATAATATACCAGTGTATAATTTAGAAATGAAGTGCTGGACTCGTATGTTTCTATTTAACGTTACATGGGAACATGTAGAAGATATTTGATCTTGAAAATAGCAACCAAATGCTAGACTTAAGTTTGAGTGTTTCGTTTTGAAAAGCACATCAAATAAACAAGACATGTAGAGTTTGATATTTATATTGTCAGCATTGTTTATCAACTATAAACAAGTAAACCTGCTTATTTATTTAATCCTAAGTATTCTAAATATTTCCCAAATGATGTTTAACAGAGCAAGAACATTTTCACAGTATGTCTGATAGTATTTTTCTTTTGGAGAATGTCTTATTTGTTTTAATTCTGCTAAAATAAAAGCAGTTTTTAATTTTTTAAAAGCCATTTTAAGGTCAGAATTATTAGCTCCTTTAAGCTATATTTTTTCAGATAGTCTACAGAACAAACCATCGTTATACTATACTTTGTCTAATTACCCTAACCTGCCTAGTTAACTTAATTAACCTAGTTAAAACTGTAAATGTCACTTTAAGCTGTATAGTAGTGTCTTAATAAATATCTAGTAAAATGTTATTTACTGTCATCACGGCAAAGATAAAATAAATCAGTTATTATAAATGAGTTATTAAAACTATTATGGTTAGAAATGTGTTGAAAAAAACCTGCTCTTCATTAAACAGAAATTGGGGAAAAAATAAACAGGGGGGCGAATAATTCTGACTTCAACTGTATACTGAATAATCTCAGAGGGTTTATGTTAAATATATTTGACTTTTTAAATTCTTAATACTAAAGAGTATTCCTTCATACTTGAATAATATTTTGAGAACTGATTATAAGTAACGATTTTAATTTGATTTAACAGTTTTGAAGGAAATATTATACATTAATTGCATTTGTAGTCTCACTGTATACAATACAATTAATTACACCTGACTAAAAATACACTCATGTGTCCACAACTCAAGGAACTCATTTCAGACACTCTGAAGAAAATATAAAAATATAAAAATAAACCTGACTTGCTAATTCTAATTATTTAGATTCGTTCTATTATATTTTCAATCAATGCCTAGGGTCAAAGCAAATCCAATTAGTTTTTCCACAATTATGATGGAATACCTAAAAAACAACTCCAAATATGCCTGCAACGAGCATGGAAATGAGGAAAAATCTTAAAAAGTCACGCAAAACTCATGCAATCTCTATAGGGAATCTGAATGTTTTTGAAATGTTAAATGAACTAGTTGTTGTTGTTTGTGGAGTAAAACTTGCTGCAATCCAGCATCATAACATCCGTTTGCTTGATGAGTATCTTATTGGAATTATATTATTATTTAATTATTTATTATAATTATATATTGTTACTTAATTTTTTTATCAATTAAGAAGTTTGGCACAAAAAAAAAAACAGTTTGTTTACTTTAGAGTGTCTGAAATGGTTTGTTGTAGAATCTGGTTTCTTTAATTTAAAATTCTCCTTTCTGAGAAATATTCTGCTCTGATATGTCAGATTTTTTTGTTGTGACTGGTCTGTTCCTTGGAGTGCGTGTATGATTACATTAATATAGATTAATGATGTCATTAGTTTTACCATATATGAGCAATTCAATTCAAACATTAACCTTGCCATAAAAAAAAAAGTTTTCTCCAAAAAATGGAAACGTTTTTTTGTTTTTTTTGTGTAAGCAAGTATTTTGCTGTGCTTTAAAATTACTCTGAAATGTATCTGTCAATGTTTTTAAACTATTATATTTAATTTACACAAATAAGACCAGTGCCAATTTCATATCCGTCACATCCATAATGGAGAGATGTCACATCTATAACAAAGCTTTTTCCTCATAATTACAAAAAATCTCAAATAAAATCAAATCAAATGTTTATGCTCTATAGAGAGCCGGCTCTTATCCTTCTGATTATCATCGTTTCTTTTGGGTTGTGCAGTTTAATTCACAGAATTTCTACAAAGTTGTGTATAGATTGTAAACTCTCTGACTTTTTTGGTCACATCCATAACGCATATTTATTTTCCTCATTTAATATATAAAAATGTTTACAGATTAATATTTTTCTGCTCTCATAACTCTGTGATTAGTAGTTTTGGAAAATATAAACAGATATTTCAATATAACATTATATACTTTCTCTTTGAATTCATGTTTTGAGATTTTACTGCAAATGTCACGTCATTGGTCTTTAGCCCATGGAAGTGCCAAAAATTGCTGCTTCTTCAACAATGTGCAATTTATTGTGATAAATAAAATGGTCATTTTAGTTTAATTGAGGCTGGAACTGACATTATTATGTCACACACTTTGCAAAAAAAAAAAAAAAAAAAGTATAATCTTGAGTTTAAAAGGTTCACAGCATCATTATAATATCCCTGTAAAAGTTTTAGATTTTTTTTTTGTTTAAAATATATAGTGAAGAAATCTTACAAGCAAGAATGTGGTTTTTTGGATATCACAAGTGAACAAATGTTGTATTTATTTTATACAAGTTTTTATAATTAGTCAATTATAATTAAGTCATAATAAATATCAGTTTGGTTTTGTCAATGGAAATAATTTTGCAACACTGTGTTCTTGAATTAATCTGTTTTTAAACAAACTGATCAAACTATTCATAAATGCATTGCTGTGTCCAAAAAAGGCATGGGCCGGTATAAGATTCTGACAATATGATAACCTGGGATAAAAATATCACGGTTTTACTGCATTTGTTATTACCACTCTAAAATAAGTTCTTTTAAATGTCTAGGTTGAAAACAACAACTTTTCCCCCTTTAATCACAGTATATTTTGTTTTTAGAAACAATTAAATATTTAAGAACAGTAAACATGTCAGGCTAAATAATTCAAATCAATCATTGACTTCTGCTGTCTTCATTAGTTTCAAAAAGATTTCTTTAGAATTTAAAATGGTATCTTTGGATATCTTTTCATCTGGAGATCCTGGTGGAGATAGGTTTTAATACTGTTTTCAAAACCTTGACTTTTCCAAACCGTGATATACCTTGAAAATGGTTATTGTCCCATGCCTAGTGCAAAACTTTTATAATATATATATATCCTAAAATGTTGGTATATTTTGTTTTGTCAGTGCCTCATCACCTTTATATTTGAATGAAAGTGTGTTTGTAAAGAAACCAAACCACAGTTATCTGCTCATACTTGTACATGTGAGCGCAAACCTTATTGTGAAGAACAGAAAGTGGCCTTTTTTAATATAAGCGCTGAGTTATGCAAACAAACCCTGCCGGTTGCTCCATATTTAGTCTTCTTAACTAGATACTCCTGACCCCAGTCCTCCTCAGCTGCCTTTTAATTGGCTTCACTGGGCCTAAAATGCTGCAATACTTCTCCAAATTGACTGCCTATTTGAGTGTCGGGAGTGATGCAATTTACAGTAGGTTGCTGGTAAAAAATGGACTGGGGCTTCTAACGCAGAGGCTGCACGGGGTTCGAATCGTAACTTCAGGGAATGCATTTCACGTGTTTATGGAGGCTTTGTACAAGGGCTGCACAATATGTTGTTTCAGCATCAACATTGCAATGTGCATGCATATTCGCTATAGTCACATAGCTGGATGTGCAATGTCGAGTGATGATGAGTCAGGATTATATAACATATGATTTGTTTAGCCATTACAAAATTGAACCATAGTAGAGTAATATTTTTTCATTTGCATGTATTTTTAGGGCCTATGACTGAGCATTTCACATTATTTTCAAAGCATTCGGGCACTATAAATTCTAATGTTTTTAGATTTAATGAAGATGAATTGTTTAATTATTTATACAACAAAGACTCACTGGATCTGAATACTGTTTGACTGCCCTGAAAACTAAAAAGTTGCTTAGTTAAATTCCATTTATAATATTCTATTTGTCTATGCTTGTCATTTTTTTTTTCATTTTATGCAAAATCACCCCCCTACAAAATCATCCCAATCGATCTAATATTAAAAAATCTTTCCCATTATAGCTTTTCAAATCATCTGAAGACATTGTATGCATATCGAGTTATATGTTGTAGAAAAACAAAATAATCAGTTTTACACAGTACTGTTTATATACAGTATATTTGTCCATAAATATGTCCATATTTAATTTCAAGTCTCTATATGAAGATACACTCAAAAAAAAATTTTAATTTTGAAAATTGAGTTTTTTTGAAGGGACAACTTATTCGTTTTCACAAATTTAAGTTGATTGAACATAAAACAGTTAACTTCATTCCTTCATGTTGTCCTAACACAAATCGTTTGTGTGGAACCCAGCCTTTTTTTATGGTGTACAAGCTGAAAAATGGGAAATTTTTATTTCTGCCCAGGTGATCCCATTTTGCCTCTATAATATTTAGGTTTGGACTCTGTGAAGACCATTTCATGACTGTTTGTATTTCATCTGCTGTTTTTTTTTTTTTTTTATCTTAGAAGTTACCTGCTGTCCAGGCCTGTCATGATAAAATATTTTAAGGTCACAATTATTAGCTCCTTTAAGCTATACATTTTTCAATAGTCTTCAGAACAAACCATTGTTATACAATACCTTGCCTAATTATTACCCTATCTTGCCTACTTAACCTAATTAACCTAGTTAAACCCTAAAATGTCATTTTGAAGTGAAGTCAAATGTAAATGTGCTTGTAAAATGGCTTCAACCATTATTTTTGAATTTGTAAATAAATTTTGCAACACTAAAAATTGAGTTCATGTTTAAGTATTGCAGGATAAGTTGATATATTGATTATTGTGACAATATAGATTTACACAAATACACAAATTTACACATACATAATGATATAATAATCATAGTAATAATAATAATAATAATAATAATGATGAATACATAGGCAACGCGCATTAAAACAAACTATTTTTATGGCATTTAAACTTATTAAATTTATAAATTAATAATATTTATGTGTAGACTCTGTTCATATGGCTTTTTAGGGTTGCATGGTTTACCAGTACTATGGTAGTATCGCGATACTATGGCTTCAAAATACTGGCGGCATCACTGTCGTATGTAAACGGTAGCATCATCAATAACGGTCTATCTACAATAGATAAGGTTGGATATGGAAAAGTCATTAAAATGCTCACACATTTGTGCAACAATAGACAATTTTATTTCAATAGTCTGTGAAGCACTTTAAGGTTGCACGTTTTCTGACGTTTCAAACGCACATCTGAATCGGTTCATTTCTGTTTCTCTCAATATGATTCTGTAGCTACAACAATCGCGACAATCTCTTAAAAAGAACGACTTACAAAGTAAAGTTCTGAATTACTTTGGATTGTTACCTGACAATTTCCCAGTGATGGGTTGCGGCTGGAAGGGCATCCGCTGCGTAAAAATGTGCTGGATAAGTTGGCGGTTCGTTCCACTGTAGCGACCCCGGATTAATAAAGGGACTAAGCCGAAAAGAAAATGAATGAATGAATATTACCTGATAAGACTGAAAAAAAAAAAAAAAAACAATAGATTAAAATTCCAAAATAGCTACAGGAAAACAATGAAACAGTTTTTAGGTATTTTTAAATCTTATGTAGCCTAATTTTGTTCTAAAAATGCTATTTTTGTACAAATTTCATTTGGTATTATTTGTATCTTTATTTTAATGTTTTTTTTTTTTTTTTTGGTTGGCCAGTTATCTACAAAATAAAAAGAATTAATAAATTTTAGGTGAAGTGACATGCAAATCATTCTTTTTTTTTAATACTAAGGGAATTATGAATTAAATTCAAGACCTAATATAACATGTAAAATAAAGTATTTCTGACAATTTTATTTTATAATTTGAGTTATGAGTTATAGTAATTCAATACTACTTGGTATCATGATACTTAAGCTGGTATAGAGTAGTAAGATGAATTAATGGGATCACGACAACCCTATGCCTTTTATTACCTTTCTTTTCCCATAAGGGATGTGCATTACAATTTGTCTGTACCTTTCAGCATTCACAATCCTATCCATTTTTCCTATCAATTTTCCATCTTAGTCCATATATGTTTTTAAAACGATTAGATCAAACAATCCAGCTGTAATACGATTTGTATTTTAAAAAAGTGACAGAAAATATGTGTATTATAGAATCACTAAAACAGAACTATATGCAGAGCGGCTGGCGTGCCCTCTTAGTCTTTCCGGGTTGATCGTCTTGCCTTGTTTACAGTGTGTTATAGAAGGGCTGATGCCGGCGTCCCTCGGGAGGGAACAAGGGTTAATTGCTGTTAAAGTGTTGGTCTCGTTCCTCTTTCTGGCCCTGACGCTCCATTAGAGTTGACACTAATGAGGCAGTGCACAGAGGACACCCTGGAGTCCAGGGACGGCACCGTCGGCTAGGGGGAACGAGACGCGATCCCGAGACTTTAGAGAGACAGAAAGCACATACTAAGTCATAGATCAAGAGTGTGTGTTGTTGGGAGTGTGTGTAGGCTCGGCTTCTCTTAATTGGTGGCTTACCCTCTGCATATGTTGTTTGTTTGTCATTAGGAATTCAGTAGGGACTGAGTCACTGCTCGTCCTTCATAATCAGCCAATGGCATTTGCTTGGTTATTTTAACGTATCGATTGTAATTTGCAAATGTCAAAATATAGATTTTTTTTTTCTGGGTGTGTGGTGTTAAAGTTGGGGAATATGCTAAACAATACAATTTATTTATAAGGCTTCTGGAGATATAAGGCTTTCAATATTTATTTTATTATTCATTATTTATTAATATTAATTTCTAATAAATATATTTTAAAATGAATTGATCACTGATTAATGAATGAAATTCAGTTGAAGTAATCTAAAAAATCTATCAAACTAAATTTTATAATAATTTAAAATAAAATAAAAATTGGGCAAAGCTGGACAAAGATTGATCGCGCAATTATTTGCATTCAAAATAAAAGTTTTGATATAATATATGTGTGTTTATTATTTATTTATTATTATATGTGTGCATTATATGTGGGTTTATTACATATGTATTATTTATTTATTTATTTATTTATTATCTACATGTAATACACACATAAACCTAAAAACCAAACTTTTTTTGCATAGATATTTAAATGTGTATATATATAATTTGTATCTAATACATATGTATTGATAACTAAGTATAAATAAGAATGTAAGTATTTATACATATTAAATATATACACCATACACACATACAGTATATCTTGTATCCCAATATAAGCTTTTATTTTGGATGCAATTAATCTTTGCCCACCACTAATATCTAATTAGTATGAATATCTAATTATCATAAAATAAAATCCAAAAATGGAAGAGTTTCAGAAACAACATGCAATAAACTTTAATAAAGTAATAAATAATTTTAAAAACTTCTCAATAATGTATGGATGAGTATTATTCTATTATTTTATGTTCAAAATTATTCAAACTCAATAAAAGTGCTGTTTATGCACCTCATTTGCTGTTTATTAATTCGCTGTATTGATCAAGCAGTCATCTGTATGGCTTTTTGTTCTGTTTTGTAGGTAGTAACATACTGATCTGGAGTCATGAGTTTCTCTCCGAGTCCACTGAGCCCGATGAGCGGCCGCAGTATTCAGGAGCAGAGAGAGCGCTGGGAGAGGAAGAGGAGTCGCACGGCCCGAGAGATGATCCAGAGTGAGCAGAGATACTGTCAACAGCTGGAACTGGTGGTCACGGTTCGTCTCTCTCTCTACACACACACACACACACACACACACACATACACATATTGTCATTTGAAACTATACTCTGTCTGTCTGTCTGTCTGTCTGTCTGTCTGTCTGTCTATCTATCTATCTATCATAAATTAAATATTTATTGACTTATTTATTAACTTTTATTTACAAATTATTTACATATTTATTTTTATTTATTTATAATGTATTATTATAATGTATAATAATAATAATAATAATAATAATAATAATAATAATAATAATAATTATTATTATTATTATTATTATTATTTTATTAAAATTCCTCCACTAAATACTAAATATTTTATTAATTTTATGTTTATTATGAATTACTGAGTTAACGTATTTTTTTGTAATCAAAAAGCACTTAATTGAAAAGTCCATGTCTTTTTTCAACATTTACAATGAAATATATTGATTATTTTTAAGCTGGGCTAGTCAAAAGATTTGGCGGGGCAAGTGAAAATTTTAACAACTGCCCTGACTGGACCAATCGTAACTATTCTTAATTTAACTATTCTAATTCTTAGCCATGCTTGAAGATATAACATGGGTGTAAAAAGATTTAGACATGCATAAATATTGTAAATGTAACTAACGATGTGGCAATATTTCCCCTGTGGGATCAAACATGGTATGGACTATCAATATCTTATATAAGTTACAAATGCCAGTATGATGACAACACTAGTCTACACTGCATTTATTCATTCATCCTGGAGAGCAGAAACGCAGTCATGTTAATCATTAGAGTTTGCTAATTAATACAAATCTGAAATTCTAATTATCTTGGAGAGCTGTTTGAGTGGTACAAGGTTTTCTGGTTATTGAGTGGTCCTTGACACCATCACATGGCTTTTCTTTTGAAATTCAAGCTTTATAACCTGTTCAAGGCTTTTATTTTAGGGCTAATTAGTTTTACCTTTAAGACCTCAATGTTTTCAAGCTGTGCATATTATTTAGTTTATTGTGAGTAACCATAAATATGCACTCATGTTACTTCTGTACTGGTCTTGTATTTCCTCATAAGCAGTGCTTGCATTTAAAAACACAATATAGCTAATAAGAATTGTTTACTAATGGCTTATTTTTAATAAATATTGAGCATAAATATTAATGAAAAAATATGGCTATGGTAATATTAAAAGTATAATTATTTAATTTTGAATTATTGAAAATGTACATTTTATTTTTAGATTAGTATGTTTTGTTTTTATTAAAATAAAAAAAATAATTTATTTGATTGTATTCATATTAGTATGAGTTATTTAAAAGCTTCATTATTGATCAATTACATGTAAAAGGCGGCACAAATGTAATAAATATAAACATTTGATAATTTGTATCTTAAATCTGATCTAATAACTCTGAAATAATCAAATGTAATATTTTTATGTAGATTATAAATTGTAGCTCTTATTGTGTATGTTTATTTATATATTTATTTACCTTTTTTATTTATAAATATACAAATTTGTATTATTATTTTTATTATTATTATTGTTGTTGTTATAATCATTTTAACTTTTTCTGCACTAAATACTAAATATAATATGACTTTATTAGCTTAATTTATTTAGTTAAAATAATTAAAATTTTACATTTAATTTTTAGATTATTAAGTGTTAAACAAATATAAAATATGTTATAAAAATAATACTAAAAAAATAATAAAAGTGATTGAATATTTCTTATATAAATTATTACAAATAATAGCTTTTATGTTTATTGTGTATGTTTATTTATATATTTATTTAGTTTTATTTATAAATATCAAATATATGATTACAATTGTTTTTTTAATTATTTTTATTATTAATATTATAGTGGTTATTAATACTCCTGGACTAAATACTGAATATAATTCTAATTTATTGGTTTAATTTTAGTTAAACTAATTTAAGTGATACATTAAATTTTTATATTTAAAAGTGTATAGATATATAATGAAATATAAAAAAAGAGTGCAAACATGATTACATTTTATTGTGTTAATTTTAGTATGAGTTATGTTCATAAAAGCTTCATCATTAATCATTGAAATATAAAACATTGCGCTAATTTAATACATATAATCATTTAATATGTTATCTTAAATCTGAAATAATTCAGAAGTAATTAAATGTAATAATTCTATATAGATTATTATAATTAATAGCTTTTATATATTGTGTATGTTTATATATTTATTTACTTTTATAAATATACTAATTATTATTATTATTACTATATAAATACTAAACAATATTACTTTATAAGTTTCATTTATTTAGTTAAAATAAATTAAATGTTACATAGAATTTTTTGTTTATTATTGGTTATATAGATATATACTCAAATATAAAAAAAAAAATACAAATATTATTACATTTTATTGTATTAATTTTAGTATACATTATGTTAAATGCTTCATTATTAATCATTGAAACCAAGAAGATTGCATTAATAAATATAATCATTTATTATGTTATATCCTAAATCCTGGAAAAATTCTGAAATAATTACATTTAATAATGAATTAATATAGGTTATTACACAATTATAGCTTTTTTTCTTTTCTTTTTTTTTTTCCATTACTTTTTCTTATTTTTTTTTTTTTTTTGAAAGTCCAAGGTTTACACTCCGTTTAAAGCTTTATGTGTCGGCTAATTAGTTTTACCTTTCAAGATCCTGGAAGCCTTTGCTGTCTATTATATACACCGAAATACGCTCGCCTCACCTCTACAAATTATGTACATCATAATAACTATACGTTTGAACTTGAAAAGCAAGTCTACCAAACCACACGTCTCATTGTTTTCAAATGCCCGTTTCTAATTAAGCATTCAAAAACCAAATGTTTTTCAATAAAAAAAACACACACACACATTCTCCTTCCTGTGGTGAAGATGTATAAAAAAATTCCTCTCATATGAAGGTAATTGAGATGTCATTGCTGTGAAACACTGGGATCTCCACAGATTTTGCTCTGGCTTTGTCTCAAGGGTACGAAAAAGACGAGAAGGTGCCAAGATGAAGAGTCATGAACGAGTGGCGTCTGCGAATTTAATTTTCCTCTATCTTTCTCTTCACCAGTACTTTGTGGAGATCTTGAAGGCCAAAGGAACCCTCAGGCAGGACATTAGAGAAAGCATCTTCAGTTCAATTAAATCCATTCATTTAATAAACCAGTAAGTATCCTTTAAATAATTAAGTGAATCTTTACGCTCAGGGGAAAGAGACAGCTGAGGGTGGCGGACTTTGATACCGTTTAAAAAAAAAAAAAAAAGACGAGATGGTATTAATTGGGGTCTAACAGGAGAATCAACTTGGAGAACTTGGAGATTGTCTTATCTCATGTTTTTCCTTTTTAATTGGATTGCCAATCAATGCCGATTGCTGGGTTTGGGCTTACAGTTGCACTTTTTTTTTTTTTTTTTCACATTATCCTGCTTCATCGGTGTTCATAATGCCACCGTTTGCATCTTCAGAGCCTTATGGGTTGATAAAAATAAGCATTCAGAATCGCTGAGGTTTTAACAATGCATTTTTAATGAAAGCGTTCATTATCATTGTGTTCATTACAGTGTTATCACCTGACTTCAACACTATACTGTAGCAAATTCAGCAGTTATATACTTGATTATAGCTTAATTTAAAGACAACATGAAACATCTCTTGCAGATCCTGTGGTTTTGATCAAAAGTTTTTTATTTTAATATATATTTTAAAATACAATTAATTCCTGTGATAGGTTTCATTTTCTGCATCATTATATTAGTCTTCTAATATGCTGACTTTCAGTTTTTACTGTATTTTGATCATATTAATGCAACCTTGTTGAGACTATCATAATATTGTTTTGCATTTTTTATACTTTTTATATATATTATAGATTATTTTATATATAAATATATTTTAATTTATTTTAACTTTATTTTATTCATTTAATATTGATGTTTTTATTTATTTATTTTTATTTTGTGATTTTATAAAATTTTTTTATAAAATGTAAAAATATTTTTATTAATTTATATATAATTTCAATACATTTTATTTTAATTAATATTTTTATTTAACTTTTATTATTTAATTTATTTTCAATTTAATTACATTTTAATTAATTTAATTTACACAAATTTTATGTATGTATTTATTTTTTTATAAAATTAAGCTTATTTTTAATCAAATAAAAAAAAATATTTTATTTTATATATTTTAATTAATTTATTACCAAGTTATTTTAATAAAAAAAATATTTATTTATTTTCAAATTACTTTTAATGTATTTAAATAAAATTTATTTTATTTATCTTACATTTTTTGCATGGTGGCAAATAAACCTTTATTTATTTATTTATTTATTATATCACATATAATATATATAACAATAATATAATATATAATATATATAACAATAATATAATAATAATTAAAGTTTTTTTTTACTTAAGCAATTAAACACAAATTAACATGGATTAATATTTATATTCTGTTTATATTATCTTAAGGAAAGCAACATCAATACACCAAGAAATAGATTTTACTACGGTGCAATGTTTTTATTGTAAACTAACACTTCAAATCTTTTTCTTCAATATGGCTAAAATTACTGGAAAAAATATATATGAAAAATAAAAAAAATAAATGTTATACTTCAGATAATCATACTCATTGAAATAAGTTAAAATAGCTAAAACTGAAATAAGAATAAATTAAATAGAATTTTTGTTCTTAATTTACTCACCCTCAGATCATCCAAGATTTTTAGATTACTTTTTTTTCTACAGACACCTAGAAAGTAAAAAAAAACATACATACAGGCAAAACAGAATTAATACACAGAACTCCTCCAAACTATACATTGAGATCATATAAAGCAAGATGATTAGTCACATACAACACCCTCAAAGTGTTGCTAACCATTAAACAAAATTGAGTCTACTTTAATTTCATGATGCGTCTTTATTTATTTATTTAAACCAGTGATAAATCGCTCATGCTAAGTCGAGAAGCCCAGCTGCAGCTCTTCTTCTGCGCACAGACGATTAGACACTCTGCTTGAGGGCCCTTTATGACAGCTTGAGCAAATGAAAAGCTGAAGTCGCTGGAAGATGAAATAATACATCAGAAAAACTGGCCTGAAGAGCAGTCGGCATTGATCTGCCCAATGCCGAGCCGGGGCAGACTAACAACAAATTAACTCACAGGTGTCAAGAAGCCTGTTCTGGTTAATTTTTATCTGAAGCGCAAAAAGCTCTCGTGAAGCGTTTTGTGTTTTGATGTAGCACATCTGAAAGCAGCAAGCAAACGTAGAAAAGCAGAATCCCTCTCGAAGTGTCCAACAGACCCAGCGAAATCACTTTTAGCTTTTCTACAGACCTTCAACGATGCATTCGAGGGATCATCGCTCATGAGTGTAGGTAGAAAACCTCAAGAATTGTGTTGATTCAGCTCATTTTATTTCAGTATTTTGAACAAGAAACAAAAGTCATTTTTGGAGTGTGGTGAACTGGCTGAAGTTTGCGTAAAGGCCGGCTCACACTCTGTTTTTTTTAATAATCCTGAATGATTGTAGCATGTCAGACTGCATGAACATGGCTCCCATGTCAGACTCTTAAGATCTCAGCTATCATAATGTCAGACTGCATGACAATGAAGACAACGAAGAGTTTGACGTCATCCACCTGTGGAACTTTTACTATCCCGCGTTCTGAAATAATTCAACGCAACAAACATAAACAATCTGTAGCGGCAATTTTGCACACAGCGTGTCTTAATAATAATAGCAGGAAGGAAAAAACAGTTTTGACATTTCCCTGCGGTCATTTGAATTGTCATATGGATTGCGTCATCAAATTCGATGCTCTCATTGCTTCTTGGACTGAACCAGCTGTTGTCACACTGCAGGAAAGTGTCTTATCTTCTAACACTGTCAGAAATTCATTGGAGGAAAAATCTGATCGCAACAATCAAAGATCACAGATTTTAGCCTAGGATGTCAGGAATCTTTTAGGATTTCCCAAATTTGTCTTTTAAATCTTACATTGCAGGGCTTTAGATGCGGATTTTGTTGTGTATATGGGTTGTTGACGAATTTACAAAATTGACCAAATGAAATCGAATTCGATTTGTCATCATTTAAAATGCAGGAAAGGGTTAATCGTTTCTTCGTCTTTCATAGAGATGCTTCTTAATTAAATATTTTTTTTTTTTTTTTGAGCTAAATTAAATATAAATTAAATGAAAATTGTAAATTCATTAATAAAAAGCCAGGTTTAATTTTACTAGTGGCTATTTTAGGAAATTTTATTTCCATCAATATTTTGTATCCATCTACAGTTGAAGTCAGAATTATTAGCCCTCCTAAATTATATGCCCCTTGTATATTTGTTTCCCTACTTTCTGTTTAATGGAAAGAAGATTTTCCAGAGTTTCTGTTTTAACGGAAAGAACACATTTCTAAATATAATAGTTTTAATAGCTCAAAACTGATTTCTTTTATCTTTGTCATGATGACAGTAAATAATATTTTATAATACAAGATATATTAACTGATGATACTACTATAGGGCTAATAATTTGGATTTTACTGTATATAAACAAAGAAACTTGATACATTTTGTGACTGAAAACCATGTCCTCTGGTGTGACATTTATTAAATCTGCAATCCCACGGAAAACTTTAATTAACTGAAGTAGGGCTGGGCTGATAAACAATATTATATTGAATCGCTATCAAATTTATGTTAATAACAATGATAAGCTCTTGACTTTTTACTCTATATTGATCTAAGTGCCAATCACACCTCAGAAATTTGCAACAATGGGAATCCAAAAGTGTGTTAACTCTAGAGAAACCGAACATTTATCGACCGAAAATGTTATGCCGTTTAAAGGACCCTCTAATATTTGTGACTTCAGTCATTGCTGGGATGCTCTTTTAAATCTGGAAGCATTAACAACTCATAAAAATAAAAATAGATAGTTATCGTTCAAGATGGAAAATAATTATCGAGATTGCATTTCTGCCATATCGCCCAGCCCCAAGTTGAAGGACACCAAGATCATCTGACTGAAGCCCATGAAATGCACACTCTGAGCATATTTATCTTTTTTGCAACAACTATAAAAGTTTAGTCCCACTTCATATTAAGTGTCATTAACTAATATATACTTGCATCAAAATATAAATACAGTATAGATATTGTGTTCATAATGTACTGCAGAATATTTCTGGTGCTCTTGTGGTGGGATACGGGTAGGGTTAGAGAAAAGTTTGGTGATATCGAAAGGTTTAAGGGTGGGTTAAGATATTATGGATGGTCAACAGTGTAATTTTAAACGTAATTGCAAAAACTTATTACAGATATATTTACATGTAAGTATTTAATCAAGCTTAAGTACTATATAAAAACATGAATTTACACAGCAAGTACATTGTAACAAATTATTTATTTCAATTCAAGTACATATAAGTTAAAGCCACTTAATATAGTGGCACCATTGTGCTTGGTGTGACACCCCTATTCAGTTAAAGTACCCAACAAGTCATGGAGAAAAATATATAATTCATATTTTCATATAAAATAAATAGCACTATATCAAGCTTTTTGTATATTATTAAGAGTGTTTTTTCTTAAGCTTTGTTATCTACCATAGGCCATTTTTACAGTGCAGTACAAAGTAAATAATAAAACTGAAAAAAAAATAATAATAAAGTTACTGACCCCTCATATTTCAAAAATGTCTTTAAAAATGATGTTTTAATTTTTTTTTTACTGCCTGTTTGTCAACTACCCATGTGTACATATTTTGAATCGCCAAACTGACTGTCTTTGAAGGCTTCATCCAGCCTCGCTTGATGGAGAATCATAAAATTGTGTGAATAATGAATCACCGTTGGTCCCCGGGGCTCCCATCAATGGCTGATTGACGGGCCTCTCTACAAACAGTGGCTGAATGAAGATGGAGGGCTGAATTTCAGAGGCCGATGTATTGGATAAATCGGCGCTCGGTTACCATATATCATCATTAGAATCGGTTATTGAAGTGCCGGGTGAAGCGTAATGGCAGTCTCTCAATTTAGATCTGTGAACAGACAGCGCTGGCTGACTGATTAAAACGAATAAAGTGCTCGCGTACTCCAAAAGCACATCGTTATCAGGAAGCTTCTTCAGATGCATGTTGA